AATGGTATAAAAGACAAAGCAGGTCATACCTAATGATAAAGTATCAATCCATCAAGAAGAGAGTTAACAATTATAAATATTTACACACTCAACATCAGAGCAGCTAAATATATAAAACAAAAACTGACAGAGCTAAAGGGAAAAATAAATGTAATAGAGTATTAGTTGGGGACATTAATACTCCACGTTTCATAATGGATAAATCATCTAAACAGAGTATCAATAAGGAAACAGTGGTTTTGAACACTATAGACTAAGGGGACCTAACAAAGATACACAGACTATTCTGTCAACAGCAAAAATACATATTTTTCTCAAGCACACATGGAACATTGCCTAGGATAGACAATATGTGAGTCCACAATGCAGTCTGAATGAATTCAAGACTGAGATCATACCAACGATCTCCTCTGACCACAACAGCATGAAACTAAAATCAGTAACGAGGAAAACAGCAAAACTCATGAATATATAGAAACTAAACAACACTCTCCTGAACAACCAAATACCCAAAGAAGAGATTAAATAGGAAATAAAAAGTTTCTTAAGACAAAGAAAAAATGGAAACACAACACACCAGAATCTATGGGACACAGCAAAAGAGCTGCCAAGAGGGAAGTTCATAGCAATAAATGCCTATATTGAGAACCAAGATCCCAAAAAACAACCTGACTCTACTACTTAAGTAACTAGAAAAAGAACAAACTGAGCACAGTATTGGCAGAAGAAAGGAAAATGTAAAGATTAGAACAGAAATAGAGGAAATAAAAACAATAGAAAAGATTAAACCAAACTAAGAGTTGGTTCTTTGAAAAGAGAAAGAATATTGAAAAAACCTTTGCTAGACTTACTAAGGAAAAAAAGGATCCAAATCAGCAAAATTATAAATACAGAGACATTAAAACTGGTACCACAGAAATACAGATATCATAAAAGGGTACTATGAAATCTACATGCCAAAAAGATGCATAATCTAGAAGATATGGAAAAATTCTTAGAAACATACAATTTACTAAGACTGATGCAAAAAGAAACAGAAAATTTGAATAGATCAGTTATTAGTAAAGAGATTGAATCAGTAATCAAAGATCTCCCAATGAAGAAAAACACAGGACCAGATGGCTTCACTAGTTTTACCAAACAAGAATTAATACCAATCATTTACAAACACCTTAAAAAAAATAATAATAATCAAAATTCTTTGCATCACAAAAATCAAAACTCACTTTATGAGGCCAGCATTATCCTGATACCAAAAACCAGAAAAGGACCTACTAGAAAAGAAAACTGCAGGTCAATATCCCTGATGAATATAGATGCAAAAATTCTCAATAAGGTAATAGCAAACTGAATTTAGCAGCACATTAAAAGGATCATTCACCATGACCAAGTGGGATTTATCCTTGGAATGCAAGGATTGTTAAACAATTCTTATCAATCAATGTGATACATCACATTAACAGAATGAAAGAAAAGAATATGATCATCTCAATACACACAGAAGTAGCATTTGACAAAATTCTACATCCATTCATGATGAAAATTCTTAACAAATTAGGCATAGAAAGAACATCTCAACACAGTAAAGACCATATATGACAACCCACATCTACATCATACTCAATTGCAAAAGGTTGAACGCTTTTCTTCTACGATCAGGAACAAGAGAAGGATGTCAATTCTCACCACTCCTATTAAGCATAGTACTGAAAGCCCCAGGCTAGACAGATAGACTAGATAGATAGATAGATAGATAGATAGATAGATAGATAGATAGATAGATAGATAGAGAGAGAGAGAGAGAGAGAGAGAGATAAAGAAATAAATAACAGGTAACAGATTTGGAAAGGGAGAAGTAAAACTATTTGCAGATATTGTGATTTTACATATAGAAAAACTTGAAGACTCAAGCAAAAAACTGTTAGATCTAATCAATGAATTCAGTAATGTTGCAGGATACAAAATCAACATACAAAAATCAGTAGTGTTTTATACTTAACAATCAATTTTCTGAAAAAGATATAAAGAAATTAATCCCATTTACAATAGCATCAAAAACAATAAAATACTTCGGAATAAATTTAACTAAGGAAATGAAATATACCTATTCTGAAAACTAGAAGATGTTGATGAAATAATTCAAAGAGACAAATCAACGGAAACATATTCCACATTCATTTATTGGGAGAATTAATACTGTTAAAATATCAATACTATCAAAAGCCATGTATAGATTCAATGCAATACATATCAAAATTACAATGACTTTTTATAAAAGTAGGAAAAAAACTAAAATTTATATGGAACCCCAAAAGACCCCAAGTAGCCAGAGAGAGAAATCCTGAGAAAGAAAAGCAAAGCAAGAGGCATCACACTCTTTGCCCACTATACTATAAAGCTAGAGTAATCAAAACAGTATGATACTGGCATAAAAACTGACAAAGAGACTAATGGACATAAATCAAAAGGAGAGAAATAAACCAAGGTTATATGGTCAACTAATATTTGACAAAGGAGCCAGGAATACTCAATGAAGAAAAGACAGTCACTTCAGTAAACAGTGCTTGGATAACTGGATATTCACATGCACAAGAACGAAACTGAACTCCTATCTTAGACACTCATAAAAATTAACTCGAAATGAAAGACTGAAATGTAATCCCTAAAACCTCGAAACCCCTAGAAGTAAACAGAAAATAGAAATAAAGCTCCTTGACGTGACCCTTGGAAATGGTTTCCCTGTATGACACCTAACACACAATCAACAAAATCTGAAATAGACAAGTGGGTTTACATTAAACCAGAAAACCTCTGTACAGCAAAAGAAACCATCAACAAAATGCAAAGACAAATGGGGGGAAATTTTGCAAGCAATATATCCGATAAAACACACACACACAAAATTTAAAAATGGACAAAAGACCTGAATAGAAGATGTATGAAAGGCCAACAGGTATATGAAAAGATGCTCAAAATCACTAGTCATTAGGGAAATGCAAATTATTAAAACCACAATGAGATGTCACCTCACACCTGTTAGAATGGCCATCAAAAAGACAAGAGATAAATGCTGGCATGGATATGGAGAAAAGAAAACCCTGTGCACTGCTGGTGGGATTAGAAATTCAGTCACAATGGAAAACAGTACAGAGGATACACAAAAAATTAAAAATACAACTATCATAACAATACAGCAATTCGATCTGTGGGAATATATCTCAAGAAAATGAAAACAATAACTCAAAAAGATATCTGCACACCTGTGGTCACAGTAGCATTATTTATAATAGCCAAGACATGGAAACAACTTAAGCATCCATAAATGGATGAATGGATAGAAGTTGTGGCATGCATATATGTACAGAACATTATTCAGCCTTAAAAATTAGTAAATTCTACCATTTGCAACAACATGGATAGTCACTGAAGGCATTGCGCTAAGTGAAAGAGACAGAGAAGACAAGTACCTGCATAATCTCACTATATGTGGAATTTTTTAAAAAATTCATTTTCTAGAAAAAGATGTGGTCACTAAAGGCAGAGGAGAGAGGAAGGGGGAGTTGGAGGAAGGTGGTCAAATGGTACAAATTTCCAGTTACAGGATAAATAAGTAGTACAGTTATAATGTACAACGTGATGACTATAGTTAACACTGCTGTTATTATACATAAGAAAATTGAGAGTAAATCCTAAGAGTTCTCATCACAAGGAGAAAAAAATCCTTTTTCTTTCTTTTCTTTGTGTTGTGTCTATATGAGATGTTAACTGAACATATTATGATAATCATTTCACAATATATGTAAATCAAACCATCATCCTGTCTTAAGCTTATACAGTGATTATACCAATTATTCCTCAATAAAACTGGAAAAAAAGAAAATAACATCTCAAAATCATATTCCCTGGGGAAGTTTTACCAATTCTTCTAAACTAAATTGAAGAGTCTTTCTCTTTTTTCTCATTTTTACTTTGGTAACCTGTACTTAAACACTTCTATACAGAATTTAGCATAAAGCATTGTAATTGCAGGTTTATTTATTTCCAATACTAGTGTTTTCCTATAATTATTTGCTGAGTGAAAGAATTTTAGTGGTAGTTAATATTAAATAATTGATATCAAAACCCTTTTCTCCCTTTTCTGTAACATTAATAAGACAGAGGCTGGATTCCTTGTTACTAGTTCAAATAGCTCCTTAGTAGTGATGTCATTCTTTCAACACTAGCCAGAACATTATAAAGAAACATTCCTAAAAATAATCTTGTCAGAATGCTATTTCCAATGGGAGCCAATGCTATTTCCAACCTTTCAATCTATACTCTGTATACTGAGTCTTCAGTTCAATCAATGCAAAATCAGCTGCCACAAAACAGATACAAAGTAGTCCACTCACCATTTCCTCAATTTACTTATACTTTCTAACTCTCTTACTGTCTTAAATGGTTTTTTTCCCTTATATAATCCTTTTCATCTCTATACTTTCCCTGCTTTTCTCTCTTATTACTGAATTTTCTTTCCTTGAATTCTTCTGTTTTCATTAAATGGCAACCGTACCACTTTTCTCCTTCCTACACGTTCTCATTATATCACAACACACACACACACAAAAAAAAAACTTGTTCCCCTTCTCCCTTATGACAAGGCCATGACATAAGAGATAATATAGACATCTTAGTTTACTTACTGACTCTACAAATATAATAGAACTTTACAGGCATCCAAATTAATTAACAGTTTTCCTTATATATCCTAATAGAATCACTAGTTTACTTTTGCCAAACTCAGTCCTACTTTTTGAAATTATTGATCGGAACTTTATCATTAAACATGTACCTATGAAGAAAATCATAAAATCATTAAATATAAACACATTTTTAATAATTAATATCTGAGCTCCACTACATTGCTAACTGCAAAAAACAATGCAGTATCTAAAAATATCAGTTCTAATGGCAAAAATAAAGTAAGATTTTTAAGTAAAATATAAATGGATATAAATTACCTTCCTTCATTGACAAGTTCAATAAAAGCAAGGCCTGCATTCTTCTGAATAGAATTCTGCCACTCCTAAAAAAATAGCAGAAAATAGCTGAACAAATTTCACTCCGTAGGTTATTTCTTTAAAACAATTATGAAACACCACCCATATCAATTTCATACTTTAACTCTTAAAGGGAGCTTTTTGTTAAACATGTTACCTACCCAATGAAGCCCTGTGAACACATGAATAGTTGGTATTAAAAAGTAAATAAGTTAGGAAAAATTTGATTTTCTATAAATTAAATTAGCCTATCTATATTTATATTGATCTTTTTGTTTTTACCATTATACACTACTAATTTAACTGAAATAGCTGGGAGTTGGAAATGAAAGCAGCAAAGAAGATGAAAGACAGAGGTTCATTTTTATTTAAGAAAAGAGATGCATGACCCCAAATGAGGGGAAGACAGAATTAAGTAGTTCAGCACACTTAGTAAATAGCATATATTCTACCATAAAAATTGATGTTTAGTGATTGAGAAAGAGATAAAGAGGATCAGTGAATTTGGTTAGACCACTTTTGAGCTGGAAACCTATAGCTCACTAGCCTATGAATTTGCAAAAGATGCTATAAATCTACTGACTACATAATTTATGAATAAGTTCTCCATTAAAGAAAACACAAGAAGGAAATCAATGAGTATAGAGTATGTACAAATGAAAATTTTAATCCTTATTCTAAACACATGTAAAATAAGCATTAATCCAATAAAGTTGGACATACAGGAATTGAAAGGTAGCTAGATTTGAGAAATGCCAATGTGTTTATGTTCACATGCATATATTTTTTTAAAGAACTGGAAGTATAAACAGAATCTTTATGTTCCTTAAAACTAAGGAGCCCCTTATATTTCACATACATAGTATGCCTCAAGTGATCTTTTATAAAGCTAAAAACAAAAGGCAATGTTGGTGTACTTATCATTGCTACTATAAGCCATATTTATATTTTCTGAATATAATACCTTTAAGAGTTTTAAATTCCATGTAATTTCACCCAACAACCTCTTTGGGTAACACCAAATTCTTATTTTATTTTCACCCTTATCCTTTCTCTTCTACTTTTTCCTTCTTATCCCCAATTTTACATTATTTTCTTTTTTTATGTTTTGAAAAACCCAAGGTGGGTCTCAGGACTTAAATGGCTATTATTTTGTTACAAGGTTCTATTTCGAGAATAGGTAAGAGCATAATAGTAGAATGAAAATTAGGTATGAAGCTAGCCAGACATTTGAGGATAGTAAATGGCTAATCCTAGGAGAGAAGATAAAGTAATGTGCTTAGGAAAGAGCAATAAACAAGAAGTCATGAGGTATATGTTCTCAAACGGGTTCTGGTAACAGGATATGTCCATGAATCACTACATTGCCAGGTTTTTAGATATCTCCTTTAAAAATTACCTTCAAGCTCTATTATTCTATGATTCAGTAACTTACAAACATTCAAATATTAGTGGTTGATAAGTCTACGATACACACATATTCTCTCAAAATTCACAACTGCCACTCAACTGAAACAATAAAGATGTTACATGTCTTTCACTGACATAAACCAAGTCAAAGATAAATACATATACCAGTCTAATTTAGAACTCCTTTCCTTCCAGCAAATAAAATTAGCAGACAAATAGTATAAAGTAATCAAATTCCATAAAGGACATCTCTGAGAGTGTAATTTTTATTTTCACCCTCAACCTTTGTCACACCCTCCACTCTTCTCAGAAGTAGGAAAAAGAACGAAAAAAGCAGAAACCACAGGTAAGTTTTTTTTCTTAGCGCAGAAGTTCCCATGTCTCCCTTCCCTGGAAAAGCGCAGAGAGATAACAAGTTTCAAAGGTTGCCCTAAGCCTAGTAATGCACAGGAATAGTAGATAAAGATTTAATGGCAGATGGACCTAAAAGAGCCTCAAAGTAACTCATGCCATAGCAACAGTCAGAAAATTATCCTAGAAAGAAATACAGATAGCTGAGGCTTTGAAGGGCTGAGGAGAACACAGCTGTGACCTTTGCTGATAGACAGCAGGGATGGTGACACCTCAAGGGATACCACAGTCAAGGAAAAGAAGCATATGCTCACTCCTCAACTCTTACACCCAACAAAGAACTCTCAGCAAGCCACGTGGAAATGTGATACAGCACCAGATTATGAGGAGGCAGGATTTTTAATTAATTTTCATTTAGCTCCTTTAACTTGAAGGAAAAATCTCAAAATGGAAACTTTAGGAAAGAGGAAGTAAAATTACTTTTCTTGCTAAAAAAAAATAGGCAAGCAGTTATACTATATATAATTCTTTAGATCAGGCATTTCATGTTAAAAAATATTTACTGGTATTATTTTTCTCAAATCTGTTTTTCTGATCTAAAACTGCAACAGGTGGAGGTTTTTATTATGTAAGTCACACAGATATCAAGATTCCACATAGGTAAAACAGATAACAGTAGAGAGACTCAAATTTTAAGTAGATAAGTAAACATGAATTTGATTTGATTTTCATTTATGTATACAAACCTTTACTCATAATGTAAAATCAGGAAGCATACTATTTAAATTTCACAAACACTTTAAACAGCATGATTTATGTCAGATCAAAAACTACTTCAAGTTAGTAAAAATATAGAAAACTTATCTAAAAATTTTTATGACCTGAACTTTACTTGGTATGTCACACAAAATATTTGTTAAATTAAAAATAAGTTAGATATGAAGATATAGACATAGAAGTAGAAACGTCTTATTTTTAATAAAAGTTCAGAAACAAATTTATTAGTGCTAAAACATTAGACTTCCTGTTTCCCAAGCATCATCTATAAAAATGTACTTGTTAACTTAGAGTAATTACTATCTCATTATCTAGAATAAAACTTTTTCACTAGCTATAAAAAAAATTTAGGGGAGTAAAAAAACAATTTTAATAAAATGATAAATGAAGGGAAAATACAAATCTTACTCATACTTTTGATATTGTTATAAAATCTGACAAATCTCAGATATCACAGAGTTTTAATTTGTTTATAATCCATTCCTAATTACAAATTAATATTTAATAAAGTATTACACAGTAGGTACCTAATTACATACTAATAAGAATAACCAGGATAAAAAGAATCTGAAACCCATGAGAATAGAAAAATAATTTTTTTAGTAAGCCTAGATGTTAGTCGAAGCCAAACTTTTTCCATACTAACACTGTCTATAATCCTAAGGGAAATTGCCAAAACTGGAAAAGAAGATTGGAAGAGAAGATTCATTAATTGTGCTTTCCTAAAACATTTTTCTCCACTTCTGAGACAATTATCAAATAAGGTGTTAGCCTAAACAATTTCATAAACCACAGTTCAATATAACCCTTAGTGAGTTTTAATAGTTGAAAGAAAAGTTTAATGGTTATCATCTTTCATGATCATTTCAATATTTCATCACAGTATTTACAATTATGTAGAGATACAAAATGCACAGTACATTTAAAGGTCTTGGTTATTCTCTTCCCAGAGGTATTGATGAAAAACACGTTAAAAGCCTTAGATACAACCACTAATGCAACTAAGTAATTTCAAAACACATATCAGCACTTTGGAAAGGAAGGACTCAAAACACAACAAATGAGTCAATAATTTCATACCTGTTCTGAGCTGTATTTAATTGACTATCACTTCCTAAGCTATAATTGTTGACTGGTCAATTTTTACTAAAATACACTCTTAGCTTACTAATGCCCTTAAGTCATACAACAACAAAGATAGGATGAAATTTATTAAATAAACTTTCTTTTATAACCAAATAAACACCAAATTTTCAAATACCTGGTTTTTGATGATAAAAGTCTTTTTTTAGGTTGAGGGAAAAGAAAAAAAACTTCATTAACCAAATTAAAACTATTCCTTCCTACCTTCAACAAACTAATATACAGAAAAGGGGCACCAACTAATCTGCTATATATTAATTGATATTATTTTAACATAATTCTAACTTCCTTAAGGTGAACTTCTCAATTTTCTATAAATTTGATAATCTCCTACAACATTTTTTAGTGTCTTGAAGGCACTACATAAATTTATCAAATTTCAAAACTAAGTCCCAAATATTACCATGATCTACAGCAAACAAAATCAGGGCACCGATTCACAAGATATACTATATATACTCCATTCTGCCATTTTCTTTTTTTGGGGGGAGCAAGAAAAGTCAAGTCATCAATGTTGACATAAAAATGTAGTATTAATTCTTATTCTAGCTATATAATTACTAAACTATCTATCACTCTTAAGAAAAGAGATATATAATGAATAGCTTCAGGTTAAATACAGCAAAAGCCAGGAACACAGATAACAAAGAGGAGACAACAGTATATGAGAGAGGGTGAAATATCTCTACAACCTGGAGAAAATCAACCTGAAGAAGCAAAGCAATGCTTGTTACAAAACCCTTTAGGCCAAGAATTGAAGGCTCTGAGAACTTATGAGGATGGCTGAGGGACAGGAATGAAAACAGTTTAAGTTAATGAAACATGGTATAAAAAATACAAAATCCCAGATCCTCTCCCCATACTTAATGACTATCCCCACCACGATAAAAGATTGGAAGTTTACTTCCTAGAGAAGTAAAATTCTGAACACTTTAAAAATCCTTACTATAAAAAACAAAAAAACTCAAAAGTATACTTTCTGAACTATGAGACTCCAAACAGTATCAGAGTAGTTTTCTCTCAGAGAAATGAAAAGCCATGATAAAATTTAAGGGTCTATCAAGGCAAAGGTAGTTCATCCATCACCAGTAGGAAATTCACACACAGGCACACAGGTTTTTTGTGCATTACACTTAAACATGAGTAGAGAGCAAAGGCTTACCAGTCATTAGAGGAAAGACATTTTTTTTGATGACAAATCTCCAAGAAAAAAGCCAGGGGCCCGATGGGGGTGGTGGGGAGTGGAGAGTCAATAGAAAAAAGGAATATTGTTAAAGGGGTGGGGAAAGGAAGACTAAAGAAAAGTATAATTAACAACATGAGAAAGATAAATTCTCCATGTAAA